AATAGAATGATTTTTTCTAATGATGTTTGTAAGTAGGATCACAAGTCTGCATCTTGTACAGCAATTAACCACTGAGAAGAATGTATGCAGTGTATTATTTGTTGAAACTGTACTTTCGATTTGATTTGAAACTGTCTTATTGCTATATGTTTATCAATAAAACTTTGAAAAGAAAAAAAAAAGATTTGCTGGGGCCAGAGAGATGGCTCAGTGGAATAAACACTTCCCTGCAAAGAAAAAAAAAAAGAAACACAGAGAAAGCTTCTGATAAAGTCATTCATGATAAAAACACTACAGAAAATTGGAAGGGATGGTCTTTACGACAATCTAAAAGCCACCTCTGACAAATTAACAGGCAACATCATTCCAAATGCACAAAAACTGAAAGCTTTCACTCTAAAATCAGGTACAAGAAAAAGATGTCCACTGTCACAACTACTATTCAATATAATTCTGGAAACATTAGCCAGAACAATTAAACAAAAGAGAAAAATAAAGGAAATAATGATTGGAAAGGATGGAGTGAAATTACCATTACTTGCCTATCATGTGATACTCTATATGGAAGACCCAAAAAAAACTCCACCAAGAGACTTAGAATTAATAAATAAATCGAGTAGCATAGCAGGATACAAAGTCAACATCCAAAAATCAATAGCGTTCCTGTACACAAGAAACTCACTGAGAAAGAAAATGGGAAACAACACCCTTAACAATAGCACACAGTAAATGAAATACTTAGGAATTAATCTAGCAAAGGAATTAAAAGATCTGTACAATGAAAATTACATGTGCTTGCTTCGGCAGCACATATCCTAAAATTGGAACGATACAGAGAAGATTAGCGTGGCCCCTGCGCAAGGGTGAAAATTACAGTACTCAAAGGGCTCAAAGAGAATTTCAGAAAGTGGAAGAACTTTCCTTGCTCATGGATAGGAAGAAACATTGTGAAAATGGCTGTACTCCAAAATCTGTTATACAGATTTAATGCAATCCCAATTAAAGTTCCATCAGCATACTTGTCAGATCTAGAAAAAATATTCCTAAAATTCATATTGAACTAGAAAAGATCTAAAATGGCAAAGACGATCCTGGCCAAGAAGGGCAAGGCAGGAGGCATCACCATCCCTGACTTGAAATTATATGATAGAGCTACTATGATAACATCAGCATGGTACTGGAAAACAAAAAAGACCTGAGGATCAGTGAAACAGATCAGAAGATTCAGACACAACTAAAAACACACTCAGCTACCATATCTTTGACAAAAATGCCAAACACATTCATGGAAAGAAAGATAGCCTTTTAAAAAAATGGTTCTGGAAAAACTGGCTTTCCACATGCTGAAAACTAAAACTAGGTCCATGTCTAGCACCATGCAAAAGTAAAGTCAGAATGGATTAAAGATCTAAACATCAATGCAGAAACAATGTACTGGAAGAGAAAGTAGGCAGATTTGGTGAAGACATAAGGGTAGGCAGAGATTTTATGGCTAAAATCCAAGCTGCGTGGACAACACCTCATACTAGGATAACTGGGATGTAACTAGGGTGTCGTCATACTGAAAAGTGCTGGCACATCAAGAGAGACCAGCAGCAGAGTGAAAAGGAAACCCACAAATTAAGAAAAACTTTAGCCAACATTCACTCAGACAAAGGACTTCCATCTAGAATATATAAAGAACCCCCCCAAAAAAAACCATATTATTCCCCCAAAATTCAAAACTGAGCATCTGAGATGAATTCACACTTCGCAGAGGAAGAAATACAAATGGCAAATATATGAAACATGTTCAGCAGCACTGGGTATTCACGAAATGCAAATTAAAACAAGCATGAGATTCCATCTCACTCCAGAAAGAGGAGCTATCATCAAGAAATCAACCAACAACAGGTGCTGGAGGGCTGTGTGGTTAAGGCGCCATTCTCCACTGTTGGTGGCAGTGTAGACTGGTACAACCTCTGTGGAAATCAGTGTGGAGATTCCTCAGAAAAAGTAGGATTAGAAGTCCCATTCAACCCAGCTAGTCCCCTTCTGGGTATTTTTCCAGAAGAACTGAGAACATCACACCTCAGTGATCCATGCGCACCCATGTCTATAGCAGTGCAAGTTGTCATGGCTAAATCCTGAAAACAAGCCAAATGCCCACTGACCGAGGAGTGCGTAAAGAAGATGTGCTATGTTTACACAATGAGGCATTACTCAGCTATTAAGAAAGACCAACTTGAGGCTTTTATAGGTAAATAAATGCAACTAGAGGCGACACTCGTAAGTGAATGCATAATCCACATGTGTAAACAGTGTATCGTCTCCTCTAGTGTAAGAACCTGAATGTGTAAACCAAATCTTAAAGGTACAATAGATATAGTAAAAAGGAAAGAAACTGCTCAAAAGGAATGAACAGCTGGGGTGAAGGAAAGGAGAAAAAAGAGGAAAAAAAGAAAAATCATGTACATATATACGCAGGATAGCTAAGATGATTGTACTAATTTCTATCATTTTTTTAAAGGTAGAAGTTAATGCTTAAAATTTTAATTTTGACCAGTGTTACATGCTTATATCTGGTAATCTGGCAACTACACTGAAGAGAACAATGTGCAACATAACAACTATTGCTGGATACCACCCCCTTGGTTTTTAAACACTGTGTATTATTCCTAATGTCTTATGTATTACTTTTCTTGACTCTTTAAAATAAGAAAGAGCAGAGCCTTGGGCAGCGCCGACCCGTGGTGCCTGAGCTTGAGCAGTACTGACCTTGAAGTCCTCTTCATTCTTTCAACATTTCCGAGCGCTCCGTCCTGTGTGCTGGATGTACACCCCACCCATTTCTTGACTCCTTTCTGGTTATTCTGCCACACGTGCGGGTCCGTTGTCGCTGCCTATTGTTAGGGGCAGCCCATGTCTAGGAACAAGTTCTCTCAGCAGCACTCTGCAGACCTCAGTGGCTTTTCAGTCTTTGTAGAAAACACTTCTGGCCACAGAGAATAAATACAGAAAAGCATCCAGAGATATTTATAGCCCCTCATGGTTCGACCTCCATAAAATCTATTTGTTGGCCTTCCAAAGGGGAAAGTCAGGATGCTGGAATCTAGGTGGAGGCATAGGTCCAGATGGGGTCAGGCCTCCCCCAGGCTTGACACCTCTGGCTAAGCGAGGCTCAGATCGAGGCTAACTTAGGAATGTAACAGTAAGAGCTTAAAAGATGGTTCGCAGCAGCCGTGCTCCAGGGGTGACGTCCTGATGACACTTCACCCAAGCGGAGGCCAGATTCTGAGGGCAATCAGCCAGGCATGTGGCAAAGTCCTAGCACTTTGGTCCACGCGGGCCCCTTCCTGCTGTGCCCGTTTGCTCTCTTCTTTGGAATGGTGAAGGGCTCACTACAGAGCCTGAGGATGGTGTCAAGGAGTGTCTCGCGATGGATCGCTGGGGTTTTTAATCATCTGTTCTCCCAGTGGAGCCCTCAGCTGCTACTTGTGTGGCTCTATCTGCCTTGTGATTTCTGAGAGTAACAGCGTCATTTACTTTTTGATGCCCTTTGCCATGGGTCATGGTGGCATTGTTTAGGCTTCTAAATTACAGTTAGAGGTTGAGAGATTTCATCCTTCTTTCTGATTTGCTCTCCTTCCCCTATGAGAGATCTACGGCCTTCTGTGGGCATGAACAGTGGTGAAAGCATACTTCAAATCAGCATAAATGTTTACTTTTATTCCCTTTTCCCAGTTCAGCGTTTGATCAAGGTGCATAATTTGGCTCATTGAGCAGACCAGCTTGGAGGACCAGCAAGGAGCACCTTGTCTGCGGTAAGGGCATCATATCCAGGCTAACATTTCTCACGCTTGACTAAGCTACTTCTATCCATAAACGGGGTGTGCTCAGCATCAAGCACAGACTCCTACAGGTTTGGCTGACTTGTAAAAAGTTCATCAGTCAAGGCTCGACCATCTAGGTTGGGGGCCAAGCTCTGTGGGTGAACAGGTTCAGTGAATTGAAATGAGTCAGGGATTTGCACAAAGCAGTCCCTGATACTGAGTGACACAGATATTTGAAAGCCAATGATGTCCTCAACCACTAACCCAGAGACCCAACATCTGGAAGAGCGTGTGGCACTTGAACTGTCAGATTTTGTCGAGGTCAGTTTGTCAGCTTACCTAATCAGGAGGACAGTAGTGGGCAGTGCCCTCGGGCAGGGAGGCCGGCCTCAGCCACAGAGTACACGGGCAGCAGCCCTCTCCCAAGGGCTGCTCTTCGGGCCAGGACGCCTGATGCTGCATGTCTCTGCTCATCTACAAATGGGCTGAAGGTATGCCTACACCAGGGATGCTCAGAGCTGGAGCTGTCCATAGCGCTGTTTCATCGTCTGGAAGGATAAATTTTACTCCAAAGTTCAATTTAACAATTCCCTTTCCTCTTCCTTCCTTGCTAGCACAGAGGCACATAGCCTTTTCAGTGAATCCCAGTGTCCATATCTGGCAGAACCCTGCAGCCCCCAGGAATTCTCTAAGCTGTCTCTTATTTTGGGGTCTTGGGATGGAGCAAATGACTCCCTTTCTTGCTGGGCCCAGGCATCTGGGTCTTTCTTTTAGGTCAAAAGATCACTCACTTTGGCCTGCACTCTGACGGCTCTCCAGGCGACCTTAGAGCTGCGGTCGGCAGGTGGTGGAGAAGGGCTCGTGTACCTTTCCAGCAGTCTGATTTATTTGAGCTGCATAGCAGTATGTTGTCTCCATATTGTAATAGGGTGCAATTAAAATCAGCATGTGGACAGTGGGCTAGAGCTGTGGCCAGTGTTTCCCTCCCCAACACCAAAGTGTGGGAGAGCACTTAAAACCATACGGAAAACTTCAAAACCTCACAAAAAACAGATCCAGGTAAATTGGCCTTTTTATCCTGTCTCTGGATACTCCCATCCAAAGGTAAAAGTGGATTGTCTGACATTTGTTACCCGAACACAGAAGACATCTTTTAAATCCAGACAGTGAGCTAAGCAACCTCAGGGGAAAGCAGCCCCAGGAGGGTACAAGGGTTGAGAACCGCGGAGTGCAGACTCGTGGTGGCGGAGCTGACGGCACAGAGGTCCCGCACCAGCCAGCGGTCTCCTTTGGGCTTTCTTAGGCCCAGAAGGAGAGGGTGTTCAAGGCAACTGACAGGCTAGGGGATGCCAAACTGCTTCACCTGGGGAGAGACGCGGGGCTGGGTGCCAAGCTGAGCCTCCCGCAAGCTTCACACTGCTTAACAGCATGGGGGTCACCTTGGGACCGAGCTTGGGCACCAAAGGTGCCAGGTTGATAGCAGGTCCCGGGGAGTCCTCTGCCCACAATGCTGGACAGGAGACACTCGGAAATTCAGGGTCCTGCCCGAGCCCTCGCTCCCCTGCAGCCAGGGCGCCTCGCCTCCCGCCCTGCACGGGCCCTCGCTCTGCCTGCAGCCCCCAGCCCGTGCAGCCACAGAGCATGGCCCCTGGTCAAAAGCCAGCTCTGTGCCTTTTCCCCATGGCCCACTTCTTCCACTCACTTCCAGAGACCCCAAGTTGCTCTGAGCCCGTCAGCGTCACGCTGCCGCCTAAGCCAGGAGGCAGCGCTGCCCTCGGTGACAGCTGCTGACCTCGGCACTCTGCCTCAACTTTCATTGCCTGGAGAGAGAAATAAAAAACCAACCTTTAGCTAGAAATAGCATCGGCTCGTGGGTGCAGGGGCCAAACATGCTTGTCTTGGAAGCGGTCACCCTTTCCTCTTCATAATATCCCCACTCCCCACAGATTTCTTAAGCCCGGAATTAAGGCCTAGCCTACTGTGAGGATTTTAAACCCCTATCAAGGGAGTCTCGGAGACGAGAATTTATTAGGCATACTCTTGAAGCAGAGGAATGTGCTGGAATTTCTCAGGCCGACTGCGCCCTACA